CAAAATGGCGCAATCTTCTTATTTCGCCATCCTTCACGTAATTTCACCATACTTTGCGTATTTTCGTAAAACCATGGTTTAATCTTCAGGCACCTATAATTGAGATAGAACATTAAAAATTCATATTTTTGCTAATTTTGATGTATAGAACAGGTTTTTAAACCGCGACCAAAAAATTTTTTTTTGGCATCCCCTAATATGCACATATAGAGAGAAAATAAAAAACAATCCACAATACAAATATATATATATATATATATATATATATATATATATAATATATATATATTGGTATATATATATATATATATATTTATATATATATATATATATATATATATATATATATATATATATATATATATATATATATATAAATATATATATATATATATATATATATATATATATATTGATAATAACTTTTATATTCAATGACACCATCTTCGAACTGTTTTTATTATCACATCTCTCAGGTCTACGAAACTGGACGGCTCCGTTGGTCACTTTTTGCGACCATTGTGTCGCATAAACAAAAATTTATTCTTTGTGGCTGGTGAGCCCCGACTTTTTCCAATGTACGTCACAACGACAAAACGGACATTAGGCTATCCCGCTGGATGTGGTTACGGCGCTCAATAACCTAATGACTACGCTGACACTCACGCACACGTTCAGTCGGAAGCTCCACAATGCACGTCGGATCAGCGCTCGCTGACTATGTGCTCGGATCTGAAATCTCACTCCATAGCACATCATTCCACACCAGCACGGGGCAGTAGCTCTTTTGGCTAAGAGTGATGGCTTGTGGCCTACGGTGACTAATGTGTGCATTCGATCAATTGAAATCCATTCTGTAGGTCTCACGTCTGGCTCTGATGTGCTAGCCCATAAGCGCAAGGAGTGAGTGTGTTTAGCTTTCTATTCACCCGATTTGAAAGTGAACGAAGACATAACGAGACCATACTAGACGACCAAACGGCACATACTAATGCACTACACCATCACACCTGTAGACATGAACGGCCTCTAAAACCAGTATATCAAATATTTGTTCTTTATTGTATACTTTTGTTCATAATCTTATTTTACCCTATCCTTGTATATTTATTCAGATTTGTGTTATGTGTGAATGAGGCCGTATATTGGTGAGAAGTATAACAGCGCGAAAATTTTACACAAAAGTACGTATTAGCGTATTTTTTATAACAAATGTATTCTTGGTTGGAATATACTGAACAATTTCATTAGATAAGTTTAGACTAATCACGATTTCGTTAGGTTTTTTTGTTTCTATCTAATTTTCTCGATTTGACCTCGCTAAGTTAGTTTGTTGTGGTTTGCACTATACAGTCTTCACTAACGTTCCTTTGGTCGTTTTGTCAACAATATTGTTTTTTAACGTTACATTTTTTAGTGGTTATAAGCTATTAGTTTAAAATCGCATATATTGGCTTATCTTTTTATTTCCTCATTATTTTCTGCCTACTGATTTGATGTTCGTATATATTTTTATCTCTGGCTAATCGTTATTTAATTACTCTGAGTCTGTATTGTGTGATAGCTATTGTCTCTACTTACCAGGCAAGACTTATATTAGAACATACTATTTAGAGTTATATATTTTTTTATCATACTTTCGTTTAACTACTTTCGTACTAATCACAAAACATCCTAACTTAGTATCAATGCTTATGAGTGGTATTTACTTATTATATTTATAATACATATTTCAGCCATAAAAGAAACGGTAAGTTACTATTAATTATTAATTACTATTTTCTATTCGCTTTTTGTTATTTCTACACATTATAATTGTTTATTTACACACGCGCATACGTACATGTGTACAAGTTTGTTTCTTCTAATGTAAGGGTACCTTATATTTATATGTGTTTACATATCTATTTATGGTCACACCACGCGCATTCCTCACCACCCTCACGAGATCTCTAAGAATGTTGGAGCTGTTTTCAAAAACTGGGATAGGGATTGGTTTTTTGGCTTTTGTAGTGTAGTCCTATTATATTGCAATATTGACTAGCATGACGTAGAGTGCAGGCGGTGAGATCTGTTGCAAGGACACGCCCCTGACGAGTGGCGTTAGTGCAGGTCTCGGGCTCTCCGAAACGTCATTGGTGATCGCAGTGCATTCCTTAGGAGGGGGATCACCATTTATCCACTACTTAATTCTAATTGGTTATTATGGCACCAACATTTTTTTACCTCTTAAACCCATGTATTTTTGCGCTTTATGAGCTTTTTATTATGAATTTGGTACATTTACGACATTTATATATTTTTTATGTTACACAGGTGATTATCAGTTATCAATTTTTTATTTAGAGTTTAGAACATATATAGTACCACATTTATTAGACACTTGTATGGTGCGATTATTTTAGTTATGAATACCATTATAAACCAGCGGATTTTTATTGACTTGTTTACTCATAGATCATTATTTCATCATTTATTAAAAGATGACTAGAGTGTGAGTTTTTATTCCCCTTTTCCTGAGTTGCTTACTTTTACTCTTCCAACTAAATAGTCTTTGCATTAATTTATGTTTTTTTACCTAAATGACATCATCTTCAATCTGTTTTTACTTTCACATCTCCCAGGTCTACGTAACTGGACGGCTCCGTTTTTATGATGGAGATTTTTATTCATAGTTATTCATGGATTTTTATACATTTTTGTTCTGCTTCAAATTTGCTTAAAAAAACATTGGTCAGAATATTAAAGAAAACTACTCTGATCTGATGCTGAAGTTTAAAAAAATAAAATACAAATGCACACTTTAAAAAGGTGACAAAATAATGTTTTTATTGCATTTTTAAATATTTTAACATCTGCACTTTATGGCATAGTTACAATGTAAATTTTAATGTATATTTCTGTAACTTTAAGAAATAGTTACAGAAATATACATTAAAATTTCTAGATGATGATAATTTTTCAAATTATGATTAGAAATGGTGCTATTTTATTCTGCTGTCCAAGAGTCTTTATCAATATCATATGTTAACAAAAACATTATTGTAACTGTTTATAGTGTTGCCAAGCCTTTGTTTTACAGCAGGCATTTTGTAGTGATTTGACACTACAACACTTTTCATATTTACTGGTTAAATCTCAATTAATTCTAAAGAGATATCAAATTTAATTTTTAATTCTCTCACTTTTTGATTACTATTCCTCCTGTGAACTAAAATCTTCCTGCAATCTAAATGAGATGCATTTTTAAATTTTTCTCTCAAAATATTTTCCGAAAAATTACTCACACAGCATATAATTTTGATTGAACTGAACTGAATTTTATTTTTTTATTTTTTTTTTTATCATTTGTTTATTTTATTATTTTTTATTATTTCTTCTTGCTGTTCACGAGAAAAATCTTTGAGTTTTCTAGAAAAGTCTTTTTTTCAAGGAAAATCCAGTTTTGTGGATATGTTGAAGTTTTTCAAAACTCAAATTTCTCAATATTATTTTTTTTGATATTACTAAAAAACTAAAAGTATAACTAAAAAATAAAATTCTTGGATATAAACAATTTTTTTATAATTAAATTTCTAGATTCTATTTTAGAAATAATTTAATTTAGAGAGTTTTGGAAAACTCTTTTGTAATCTATTATAAAATAAAAGATTTCAAAATGATAGGTGTCATTTATTTAGTATATATGTTGAAAAGGGGAATACCATTACTGGTCAATAGTATTTCAATTGTTTAAGATCTCTTATTCTCAAAATAAATGGGCAAAGGTTGGAATAGAAATCTAAAATTGATTAGCTCTCAATTTGAAAAATATATAAAATGATAACACAATAACACTTCATTCCAACTAAAAGTTTAGCAAAGCTAATAAAAATTAAGAACCTGTGATAAATTGCTAATTTAAATTTAATAAATTCTATGTGTAATACTAAACATCTTCGCATAGTGTTTGGAGTTTGAGTTGAGAAACAACTTTTTTGTAGGAAGATGCATCAGCAAAATACTTGTTATAAATTATTTTGATTAACAGATTACTAAAATATAGCACCTAGCAATTGCTCCAGATAACTTTCTATGGTTTTACAATTACGTATTACTTTTAAATTACTACAACCTTTCAACTCAATCACTATAAATCTGATAGGAACTTGAACAAGTTATAAAAAACTTCTAGTAGAAAATAATTTTAGCAGAAGCAAAAGTAATTTGAAAGTAATTTTGAACTTTTAAAGTGGATCAACCAGTTTTTTAAGATGACATGGAAGAGTACTTAAATTAGATTCAATAGATAGGTTTGATGAAAAGTTGTTTACAAATAGTTCTACCTTAAAAGAGTTAATAAGATCCATACATGACATGCAGAATGCTAGCCTTTTATAATGTCATTGTTAAATTTTTAAAAATAAATGCTTGATTTTTGAAAAGCCTCTAGAACATAACTTTTAAGGTAAAATACAAAATATAGTAAAAAATAATGGACATAAAGGAGAACAAGAACTATCATATGTTGGAACTATCAAGTGTTAGTGAGATCATAGCATGATTTAAAACACCTAAAGGAGAACAAGAACAAACTGAACACAAACTAGGTTCAGAGATAAGACACAAATCAAGGAGTGAAACTAAGTGATTAGAATTGTCTTAATAATAAGCGTGTGTAATAAAATGAAATTCAGATTTCTTATGGAAGTCATATTTTTATTTGGTTGCTGTTGATACATTTTTTATATAGTTGATTTTGTATAACAACAGTACTGATTTTATTACATTTTATCATTTAAAAAGTAATACTTAGCCACAGTCATGGCTATTAATGCTATTTTAAGCTGTAATAAATTAATATTAGAATAGGCCATAGTATAAAAATTTAATTTTATTATTTAAATATGTGTTGACCCAAAATATGATTTCTTATTTTATGTATGTATGTTTTATAAACTGTAGATGTACTTTGAATCGCCAATGTTTTCTTGCACAACTTTTTGTTTTTAATATTAATT